GCAGCTGTAAAGAAGAAGAATCTCGTACCCTTTGGGACAGTATGGATGGTCCTGGAGAATATTATGCTAAGTGAAATAAGCCAGGCAGCAAAAGAAAAATATCACATGATCTCGCTTATACGTGGAATCTAAAGAACTTAATAAACTGACGAGCAGAATAGATTCAATGACATGGAAGCATACTTGAGACTGACGAAATGTCAGAGGGAGGGGGGAGAGGGGGTGGAAGGGGAGAGAGTAACCAAAGAATTTATATGCATATATACACAACCCAAGGACACGGACAATGGTGGGGAGAGGGACTGGGGAGGGGGAAAGAACAGGGTGGAACGGGTCATTGGGGAGAAAAAGGGAAATCTGTAATACTTTAAACAAAAATAATAAATAAATAAATAAATAACTCCCCAAGAGGGTCTGAAGCAGCTCTCATACAAACTAATTAATGTGCCTCCAGTGAAACAAATAATCACAAGTGGTCTAAATAAAGACTGTAAAAGGTTTATATCAGTTTAGGTCAAGTTTTGCTTCCAAATGAATTAATAAACGCTTTGTTTCTCAAAACTTTTTGTATTTTGGATCTGTATTATAGCTTACATTTAACAGATAGAGAATGAGGTCAGCAAGAGTAGGTCATTTGTCCAAGGTCACATAGCTAAGAAGCGGTGGGGGTCCTCAAGGCTGGAAGTGGCTCAGGAGAAAGCTAGCTGGACCACTTTCTCTACCAGAAACTCACCTCCAACCTTCCCGCTCTACAGCCTTGGCAGCCTTGTGTATGACCTCTCCCCACTCCCACCCCACTCCACCTCCCAGCTTCTTGGATACTCATTTTATCTCACTTTAATATGGTTTAAAGTAGAAAGCAGCCCAATGGAGTGTGACTCACCCCAGGCACCCCTAACAAACCCAGGAGGGGCCCTTGGGAATTGGATCTCTGGGCAGTTAAAACTTGCTAGCTGCCCTGCCCTGTTACAGGGGTTAACTTCAGAATGGTGTGAAGGGGGAGCCCTCCTGGAGCAGACAGTCTAGATAGCAGGAAACTGAACCCCTTGAGGGTGGCAGGAAAAGGAACATCTGCCTTTTCCCATTTGTATTAGGATCCAACCCCCCGCTACCCCCCAAAAAGCCCTGGCCTTCCGTTTCTTCCAACCAGTGAGCAGCATGGACATGCAACCATGTGCCGCTTATTCCCACTGATTTCAGCAGCAGCAGCGGCTCCTTCGTTCACAAACCGAGTTTTCCCGGTAAGACATCCTTCCTCCTTAGTCTTCAGCACGAGCCGGCTCCCAGGCTCTCTCCCAGGCCACCTAGGACCTCACCCCGATATCTGTTTTCTCGTCTTGTCTGAGGGTTATGTTGCCTGCCGGGTGCACTGGTAGCACCGCCTCGGCCAAGCCCTCGACCCCGCCAGTCGTCAGAGGCCTTCTGCGCCTGGTGTCCAGTCCTTGCTCATCCCTGCTCGGTGCTTAGAATGCAAACTAGGACACTCCCCCTCCTTTGTGTTGTTTCCTCCCTTTTAAATCTGTCTAATCCGTTGGCATCGTCCCTCTTCTGGTCCCGCAGATCAATACTCCCGCTTCCCAGGTACAATCCAGGTCAATCCAGGTNGTGTCCAGTCCTTGCTCATCCCTGCTCGGTGCTTAGAATGCAAACTAGGACACTCCCCCTCCTTTGTGTTGTTTCCTCCCTTTTAAATCTGTCTAATCCGTTGGCATCGTCCCTCTTCTGGTCCCGCAGATCAATACTCCCGCTTCCCAGGTACAATCCAGGTCAGTCCAGGTCAATCCAGGTCATCCAGCAACACCCTGCCTGGGGCAGCTGAGGTACACGGGGTCAGAGTCGGCGGCTCCCTAGGAACAGGAGCCCAAGCCGCGTGCTGCGAGCTTTTAGTTTTTAATTGAAGGTCTACTTTAGGGGTAAAATGGGGTGGAAAGCCACGCATGCTCAGTTAACTATATCCGGATGTAAGACTGAACAGAGATGGAAACCTGTTTCCCAGGATGCCTGGGACCGTCCTGCTCTTTCCGCGGGAAGCAGCGACCCCTGCGGGTCTGGCCTTCTTTAGGGACCCCCGCGGGGAAGACCGACTCCGCATACTCGGTTTACTTAGTAATTTATTTTAATTAACGCCATCTGTCACGCTGTCACGCTGACACCTAGGCGCAACCCCCAGCGCCGCAGGTCCCCGCGCGCACCCCGCTTGAGGCGAGGGGTTGGTCGCCGCGGCCCCGCGGGCGTGGAAAGGAAGGGGGGGACACTTG